CCAGGGCCAAAAAAAGCACACAAGCAACAACTAGGATAGTGATATCCCCATATACACCCCCTTAGAATGAATTGAAGCCCATTAAGCTAGGGATATCCGCATAAAATGTTTCTGCTTACGTGCTTTTGGGGTCCCTACTTGGAGGGTCGGGGGACTTAGTAAGTAGGTAGTAAGTAGACTTATAAGTACCCGAAAAGGGACCCTACTGTAATTGGGGTTCTGGTACTTATAAGTCCCTAAAATAACCAGTTACTAAGTCCCCCTAAACCCTAAACCCTATATCCTTATAGAATCCCTATAGATCCCTTTAAAGGAACCCTTTAAAGGAACCCGACCCTCCAAGTAAAGGACTAAGAAGTCGGAGCCCCAAATCGAAAATGCAAGGCACCAGAGACGGCAGCGGCGGCGAAGATAATAGCAGTGTGGAGGTCCGAAATCGGAGTTTCCCAAAGGGTTTAGGGTTTGTTTAGGGTTTAGGGTGTAGGAAAATTAGGGGTACCTTATTTTGAAGTCCTTATAATATGGATCCTACTATTTGGGGTACTACATTAGGGTCCCTGTTTTCGGAAACTCCCAATTGGTGGTGGTAGTCTGCCGTCGGTGTTGGCGTGTCGCTGTAGCTGGTGTATAGTCAGGGTGGGTTCAAGGCTTCGGGTTGGGAGCAGGCGGATGTTCAGCCACGTGTTGTGCCATGGCAAGACAGCCTGCTGCAACAGCTCATCCAATGTCACCCTAAGAAGTATCAAAGCTCGAATCAGAACAGACCCTAAAGCTTAAACCTTAAACCGATTCTCAATGCCTATGTCCGGAATATTCGAGAAGCCTGAGTTCGCATGAATGCTGTGCACACACTACGCACTGCCTGCTTTCACTGTTCTGAACTAGGCTTTGAAGTAACCCGGGAGAAAAAAGTATAGACTTTTATTTCATAATGGTTCCCTTTAAGTAACAGGTCCCAAAAAAGTATTAAAGTATGGTACTCCAAAGCCCAGTGAACAAGTCACATGCACAGCGGTTGCAGCCATGCGACTAAAGACCTTGCTAAGGCCGTCAGCCAGAATCTGCATGTCATCGCCAGGCTTAGGGAATGAAGCGCGCATCGCCTAACTTCAGAGACGTCTGCCAGTAAAACACTTCCCAATCGCCGAGGCCTGCATCTTGCATCTGAACCAGATCAGCATTCAACACGGAACATTAGCGATCACGAATGCTGAAACATGGACGCTTTCGCGAACCAGCCTGTTGTCCATGACACCAAACGTTATGCATCCGTCAGCAAAACGAGCAAGCAAACACTTGCTGGTCACATGCACTTGTCACAAATACACGACAAGTGACTACGAAGGTAACTGCCAATTGTTGCACCCACGTTCATTGCTTCACCGGCGCAGCACTCCCACGCGAGAGGCGTGACTTGACAGACGCAGATCTGCACACTTGGCTTCTCCGCCTTCTGAGAACCTGTCAATAACCGAGTCTATTGTGCGAGACAGCTTTGCCAAATGGCAAAAACACAGGGATGAAGCTATTCGTTGCTGTAATGTGAAAGAAAAGCTTCTCGCTGCAGAAACACTGCAGAAACCGTGAGGGTCAGAAGAGAGCACTGAAGACCATGGAACTGCGGCGCCGGGGCTGCTATGGTATCCTGTTGACTACTTGTTTTAGTCACAACAACCAGCACGGCTTCGAAGATTTTAAGACTGCAACTACGACTACTACTACTGCTGCTCCTGCTGCAGCAGCTGCTGCCGCTACTACCACCACTCTCAGGTACGGCTACAATGACGACTGCTCTACTGCACCCACAAGAGCCAGTAGCTACCATTTCTTGACTGAGTAGCAGGTACTCATAACAGCTGGTTCCACGACCACGACCAATGCTAGTCGTCCTAACTGCTTTCGTTGATTTATATGGGAAACATGGAGCGTCATCATGGTCGGAAGGTAAGTCGGGAGCACTTCGTTTAGAAGCATTCACGAGGTCGGGTTCGAAGACGCGCAGCTACGGCAGCTCACCAGGCCATGCAGAGCTCGACTTCCGGGGCAAGCCGTGCCATTCCGGGCTTAGAGTCAGCTTGAACTGACTACGGACACTGTTGTGCTAAACCCTTGTCGGCTAGGGCTGGAAATAATATGGGAGTTTCCGAAAGTAGGGGACCCTAATTATATAGTACCCTAGATAGTAGGATCCTTATTCTACGGACCCTCAAAACAAGGTACCCCCAATTTTCGGAAACCCCACATGAGATAGTGCTGGAGGTCGTGGAAATTTGGATCCCTGGAAGGCTGCTGTGGTTGGGCAAGTGAGCGGCTGCCGATGTTCGGCGTATGCGGGATGAGGAGTTGAAGGAGGGTGTCCCCTTTCTGGAGATTTGTGTTACGCCATATGTTTTCGCTATCCTTGTCAACGTACGCTCGGCAGGAGTCTTACGGGGCTTGCTGCAGCAATGCGAATCTATGCTTGCGAAGTTCTGCAAGACTGAAAGTGTCGTGGTGACACAGTAGAGGGGCGCAGGTTCGATCTACCCAGCACTTTCAGGATTCGGCTTCTTGCTCAGGACCAGTTTAGGATGAGACAAACGAATCTAAGCCCACATTGCATCCGATGAGACCGAGACCGATTCGGCGATTCGGAACGAATTGGGCAACTGCACACGTTGTCTTCCACGTTGAGCGGAACCTTGTTAGTTACGTCGCAGCGCCATCGATTGTGCACTTATTTTCCAAATGGGGCTCTGGACTACATTGCGAACCTGGGCCCTAAACACTTTAAAAATCTCAATATCTACCGCCAGACATATATCCATTGTAATGTACACTGTATGGTACAAGGTACGTATGTTTCTATATATATATATATATATATATGTACACAAGTTATGCACACACATAGATTAATATCATATCAGTCCGTTGTTTCCTGATACTCCCAAGCATCAAACACTAGACCGAACCGCTGTCAGGTAACATGCAAGCCTTTGCAGATCATCGGAGAGAGGGGCTTGTGTCTTGCGCCCAGCACAACCAGAGAAGTACGCAATTTCATAAGATACATCCGTATGCCCCTGTATGTTGTATACTAGCCACACACGATATGAAGAACATGTCTATGCGAGCAAAGCGGTGCTGTTCGGGTCCACCTAAAGCAAACCATAGACCTTAAACCCTAAACCTCAGCCCTCAAAAACCAACCCCAACTCGGGATCGGGTTCAATCGATGGCGCCAGACGCGTGGCGAAAGCTGGCCGAAAGTGCCATGCAGAAACAGCCCGCGTGCTCGGATCTACGCTACTATCGTACTATTGGGGGGGCCGGAAGTACAGCCGGACTGAACAACAGCTATGATGAGAGGGATTAACTGTAAGTTTCGTTCAGGACCCGGTGACTTAACTTGAAACCATTGTTACGTTCACTCGTGCTTATCTCTGACGAGTCACAATTGGGGTCCTCCGTATTCGTGGACTTGCACCGTTAACCGGTACGCACAAGACATCTGAGCCTCGAAGCAGAATTGCGACAACGGTTGACATAATCATTGCGCTTATCAGACGTGTTTTAAGCCCTGCTGGAACTAAATCGAAGGTGACCACTCCATGGGGCTATACACCTCCGAAAAAGAACCGAGTGTAACAACTCGCGCTTTCAGATCGTAGCGAAGAGCTTGTGCACACACGCCGCACTTGTGAGACCACATTTGCCACCCTTTGTGGCCGAGGTCAGAACGCTTGCAAGGCAGAGGCAACCGGGGAGATGCAAGCCAGTTGGTGGTCGTAGACACCTGGTAACCATCATAAATATTAATCCTTTCTGTGACGTTCAATTGCCAATGGCTACTTTGTCTAAGCTACCGGACTACCAGATTACTAGATTACGACGACGACTACTACTACAACAACTACTACTGCTACTACTACTGCTACTACTACTACTACTACTACTACGACTACTACTACTACTACTACTACTACTACTACTACTACTACTACTACTACTACTACTACTACTACTACTACTACTACTACTACTACTACTACTACTACTACTACTACTACTACTACTACTACTACTACGACTCTACTACTACTACTACTACTACTACTACTACTACTACTACTACTACTACTACTACTACTACTACTACTACTACTACTACTACTACTACCTCCTGCTGCTGCTGCTGCTGCTGCGCTGCTGCTGCTACTGCTGCTGCTGCTACTGCTACTCTACCATACCACTACACAGACTACAATACTACTTCGCCACTACACTACAATACTACTTCACTACTACTTACCAGTGCACTATGACCATACAACTGCGAAGGATTATCCTTTTACACCTACGCATAGTCTTCCTTGGCAACAGTCATGATGTGGTCAGCTGCCGAGCTCATTGGAATAAACACCATCCTACTTGTCACATGCGCTCGACCAGAGCCCCTAAAATTTGCACCAACGGTGACTGACCACAACTGCATCATCACATCTGCGAACCCTCAGTTGCTCCGCCAATCAGCTTGGCTTACCACTGCAGAGCCCGGTGGTTCGAACACTAGATTATCTAGATCAAAGAACATCCGTAGACACTAAAACCAACCCTAAGCCCTAAACCTGAAATCCTATACTCGATGGGCTTCAAGCCTAAACCTTGCGCTTGCGGGAAGCAGTCGAATACCGGGCTCAAGGGCAAGCCATAGATAAAAATCTCCGAATGCCATGCCTAAGGCATGGGCTCCTATGCTTAGGGCGTGGTTGGGCTTTTACTGTTTTGTTTAGGGTTTAGGGTGCAGGGTCTGGGACTGAAAGTCTCAATAGACATGGGTTTCAGACGGATAGAAGGGCAAGAGGCAGCGAACACTTAACCTTTAACCCAATATTTGCCCGAATACCCTCTAGGCCTATGAGGCCCTTAAAGCCCCTTAAATCCTATAAACCCTGAACCCTATAGGCCTATAATGGCCTGTATAAGCCCTTAAACGCCTTAGGATGCTCCAGAAGCTTTCAAAACGTCGCGGACAGGACGACTTCCCTGCTCTCCTGGCTCAGCGCGGCGACTGCTGTCGGGCCTCGGATCGGATCTGAGAGGGTTTGGGGTTTATAAGGTTTGGGGTTTAGGGTTTGTAAGGTTTGGGGTTTTGCTTTATAGGTTTTAGGATCTACCCTCTCGGGTTCAGGTTTTGCGGCTTACGTAGAGTTTAAAGGGTCAACGATATGGCTTTTCAGCGTTTAGTATTTGGGTTTTTTGTTACGGCTTAGGCTTCAAGATTTAGGGTTTAGGTTTACGGCCTAGGGTTCAGTATGCTTCGGGCTTTAAGGTTAGCTATTCTTTCGGGTTCAGGGTTAGCGTAGACGCATGGGGGCTTGGGGTTCTATAAGGGCTATGATAAGACACTTTGGGTGGGTTCATGGTTAGAGATTAGAATAGATTTGTTGCGTAGGATTTAGAGCTCTGTGGACCTTTCGTGAGACAGAATAACGTAATGCTTCATAAACAGCATATTTTTGGTCCGATATTGGGAGTCCCTTTTCCCAAACTCCCAGAATCACCATTCTAATTGCGCAGAGAGATGCAACGACCTGATTTGTTCTGCGTGGGCCTGGACATTGTGTGTGCGACTTTACATCAACAATTCACAACGGTGTCGCCTGCAAAGCCACAAAACCTCAAAGGCTTGCTGAAAGAGTGGAAATCAAGCTCATCTAAACCGCCAATGTCTTGGGAAACGGCGGCACCCAAGAGCCAATATCCTCTGCGGCAATAGCAACACTGGTATTGAGTTCACTCAGTTCACAGAGCATGTTCGAAGTGCCGTTTCAGGCTCACAAAGACAGCGAGCCACGCCTCCCCCAGAACAGTTTTTCCCACCCGACCAGCTGACAACGTCGCACTGCAGGGGGTTTAAGGTTGAGTCTGACAGGCAACTCCGAAAGTTCTCACAGCCTAATCTGGGCCTGCCTGACAAAAGCAACCACTCGGAGTGTGCGGACCGGTTGACAAAGCTTGTTGAGGACATGATCGACTCCATACTGCCAAGTGTATGACTATTGGCATCCCCGCTGCTTCTTTTGAGAGGCACACATACAATAACTTGCTACGTTGCTACGATCCTTACAAGATTTCGCCAATCTCTACACCACTTAAAAGTAGCTGCTTAACTGTTGTGCCAAAGCATAGATGGGGAAAGCTCAGGTATTCTTGGCAAACATGCGCACGAGAAGAGACGTCCACAAACCCACGTATGCAGCTTTCGGTACACAGCAAGCCACAATAAAGACGTGAACCCGAATGCATAACCCATGCAGATACACGAGGTTCAGTCACTGTTTGGGGTGAACGGGTACCTTATGCAGCGCTTCGTTGAGCACAAAAGAAGCGATGCAACTCAACTTGCAACCCAAACCCTTAGCCCTAAAGCCTAAACACACAAGCCCCATATCTGCCCCCCGAAGAAACTGCTGGACTCTACAACTGCCACTTGCCACTGACAAGTGACACGACAAGTTCGACAACCCAGCAATTCGACACAAGTTGACTCTATAGGGATTGTGTTTCTCCCAAACCACAACCCAAATCCGAAAACGTAAACCTTAGTTGAAGTCGCAGCGGCTTAGCAAGCCTTTGGGTTTCCCACTGCCGACATCAACACTGCACAGTCCTGCAATGTGGGGCACCTCAGAAGGCTTTGGGGTTGGAGTGTCAACACCGTTGGCATTGCTCCGTCAGTGTTGATGATCACATGATGATCCGGTTTGATGACCGCGGCAGTGATGATCCTAATATGATGTGGGTGGTGATGGTGCTGCGTGGTGATGGTATTTGCCGTTCTGACGATGACGCCAGTGCTTCCAACCACGATGAAAGACAACAGGCAGTTGACCTCAGCAACGCTGATGGGCACTGGCAATGAGACTAGTCGTCACGGCTATTGAGCGTTGGAGCTTGCAAGACCTATCCGATCGCACGCAGATGGCCACCATCACTCTTTACTCTTTACCCAAAATCCTCTGTTCCATAGTAGCACCAATACAGTAGCGGTAGCTTTTGTAGCAGCAGTAGCAGTGATTAGGTTCCATCATTCTTTTCTGAAAGGTGTGCAGGATTACAATGGTATGGCAATGTCGGAAAGCAAACTCAACATACTCCAGACTTATGTGCTCGGTTGGGTGTCTCAGGCAGGCAACCCTGATAGTGCCGATGTCGCAATAGCTGTCTGAAGCTTTGCTAGATCGTAGCGCAAGCAGTTGAAGATATAAACCGTGAGTGTTATACATTTAAACGGCTCCAAGGTGCAATGGCCCTGTCAGCATCTGGCTTGGCAGAGTCTTCTGCGAACATGTCATGCACTACCTGCGGCAGACAAGCTGCAAAACATTGAGAAGAAAGCCTGGCCTGTAGGTACATGAAAAACCGGATAAAAGGATCGCCACCACAAGTTTTGATGCGAAGTGCTGACCCAAAAGGGTTGGCGGCGCCGCATCCACGGGATGAAGCCAGCGACTAGCTCATGTGCGCACGGTTCGCTCAGGACTTTGTGATGGTCGCGGCTGTAGCAATAACAATGCCCAGAAGAATGTCTAAGGTGCGGTTTAGGGTTTAGGGCTTGGGGTTTAGGGTTTAGGGTTAGTCTAAGGTTCATGACAAACTTCATCGTAGCAGCACAGCCTTTTTGGATAGTGACAGTCAAAAGAAACGGTAATTCCCTGACTGTCTAGTTTTGACAACCGTCGTGCAGTAGCAGCACGAGGTGTCCCAAGCAGTGACTTCAGCATACTCGTGACTGTGCACATGAAATGCTTTTTTGTTGTGGTGCATACTTTTGCGAAAATATCAACTGCCAGGGCGCTGGGATTATAGCACCCTCAAACCTGTCTATGCCAATGCTTCCAAGGACCGTATGATTAGGGCCCTACACCCCTCAAGGACCCAATAATAATAAGGTGCATGGAGGCATAGGGCATCAGAAAGGTTAGAGGGTTGGGTCCGGGCTTTGGGGGCAACGTTCAAGTTTGCAGCCTACAGCAAACGCACCCTCGTAAAGCTTGTATTTTGCTGTATCATCGCATGCTGTAATACTTTCGAGTAGAATATGTTCTAACATCTTGTCGTATTCTGTAGCTTCTGCCCGCCTGCCCCCCCGAACGTCTAAGATCGTGAAACTCAAGCCACAAAAATGCAACCTTAAGTACGAAATTGAGGTTGCATATGTAGGCCTTTGCAGCTACAACAGGGTTCGGGGACTTTTTTCATGGATGCTAGATCATTCTCCTGGATGGCATCCAAAACCCTAGATGCTGCAGCCCCAACCCTAAACCCCGAAAGCTCAGCTCCAACCAGGAAGCTGCAATCAAACCAGCGAACAACTCCAGCTGAAGAGGTCGCTGCTCACCTTGAAAGAGTCGGTTCTTTGAAGGTGGCCATTGAGAGTCGGATATGGCTTGCTTGGAGGATCATGGGTAAAGGTAGGGTTATAAGAAGCATAACCCATATTAGGGGACTTAAAACCTTACTTATAACTAGCCATGAAACTCCAGTAGGGTCGAGGGTATGGGGGCCCAGGAAGTCGGGCTCTTATTGGGTTCCCAAAGACCTCGACTCAAAAAGTAGGTTCCTGGGTTGCCCAATACATAGCCATGGCGAGGAGGTCGGGTACCGGAAGCCCTAATCAGTGAACTTCAGTTCAAGACATGCAGCCTGATGCAGCCCTTGCACGCAAAAAAACGCAGAGGAGCATGGGCTGTGCGCATATTATCCTATACATCCAGATACGTGCTGGTAGTTAACAAAGAGCTCCTGTCACCTTCGCATGCGGTTCCCTAAGTGAAGGCATAGAAAATACTTGTAGCGATGTATAACTAACAGCCCCTAAGGGTCCATGTATCCATATGAGTATACTTTGACCCCAGAGTGCCAATATAGGGACTACATTGGGGCCTATGTATATACTTTAGGAGAACATGGACCCTCAGGGAACAATTACCGCGCGATAAGAAGAGCATCCTGGGCAGGCTTGTCGATGCTTGGAATTTTGGTGTAGGGTTCAACCATCTCAGTTCATCCAAGGCACTCCAGTACGTGAATGTCGGTGGGAAATATCTCGTCGTGCTCTCCTGACGCTCAAGCATTGCCACAAGAAAATGATGACAATGCCTGCATGATATTTGTCGGTGAAGGCTGCAGAAAAGAAAGGCCGAGAGGGAGATGAGCACCAGGTTTCTTCATGGGTTGCAGCTTTTAGCATTTGGGCTTTCTAGATTTCCTGGCTCGGTCGCTCTCTGTCACTCTCTTTCTCGCTCTGCCTCTGCAGGTAAATGCAAACTTGTATATGTGTTTGTGGACATATGTATATATTTATATGTATATACGGCTTCTTATTAATATGACCATATAGAAGAGTGTGTCCATATAGAAGAGTGTGCATGTGTGTATATATATATATGTATATATACATATATATGCATATGCTGTTTTGGGCTTATGCATCCAAACCATGTCAAGCCTCTGTATACCTTTACATATGCAAGCAGGTACGTCGGTTGCCGGCATGTCACGCTTCCATAGGCCCATGCGCATTCACATCCGACATCATGCATGTGCGCAGGCGCAGGTGCCTCGTGCATTTGTGTCTCCAACAGAGAAACCAGTTCACACACTCGCTCCGACTTATGTTATCCGTTTGCCTAAACGGTGGCTGCACACAACCCGCCTGTCATCAATCACACCCAAATTTCAAGTCTTGAACCATCACCATATGTATATATATATATATATATATACACATACCTACATGTACAACTTAATAAGCATACGATTTTCTAACTTCAAGTGAGCGTAAAACATGCATGCACATATACATGTAGGCATACATGCAAGCGATATCAGTATATGTGGGTACAGTGTGTATGTATCTTTATATTCAACAAACATGTATGTGTGTATATATACATATATACACATACAGTAGGTATACATGCATGCAATAAGTACATGTGGGTACAGTGTGTATGTACATATATATATATATATACATGTATATATATATATATATAAACATGTATGTATATATATATATACACACATGTAGGTATATATATATATATATATATATATATATATATATGCGTGTGTGTACGTACTTATCTAGACAAGTTAGTATATATATATATATATATATATATGTGACGTATGTAAGCTATTATATGATTACATGTGACTATGTATACATAACTATATAACAATATGTGCTTGTATCATAATGACCACACCCCGTCCTGAAGGACCTGGACCAGTTGCGAAGCCATCTCCTGGGTCTGTTACTGTGCCGGGGACGACGTAGCAAAGACTTGGTAAAGGTCTTAATAATTAGAATAGGGTTTATGGGCCCATTATCGTATAGCTATAATAAGGAACCCCCAAAATAGTATTGGTAGTCGGACGGTCGTTTAGGTTGGTTGGTTGGTTTGGGGTTTAGGGTTTAGGAGTTTAGGGGTTTATATAGGGGCCCGAGCTTCGCAGTAGGGTTTTAGGCTTTAGGGCTTCTGAAAGCCGACCTTCACGTCCGCCTGATGAAAAATCCCAAATGCTACAGATCGCGAATCTGTGCCCAGCAAGTGTCGCTGCCGCCTGCCCGTTCTAGAGCCAAAAGCCTTGGGCCAAGAGTCGATAGGGGCTCAGGGTTCGAGAGGGCTTAGGGCACGAATGTAGGGGCCTTAATAATTAGACTAGGGTTTTAGGGGTTCCTTATTATGATTATAGTATAATATCCCCCCAAACCCTATTCCAATGATGAAGGCCCCTATAGTACTTGAGACCCGAAGGTCTCATTGCATCGCAAGCTCCACATGGCGGGATCCCTGCAATATTTCAGGAACTGATAGGGGACACCTGATTCAGTGTTCGACAACACCGCAATAATGAATTCCGGCCTCTTCAATTCTGGGTAGTCATAGCCATAGTCTTAACAAAGATCCGCTGTTGAAATGGTCAGGTGTTTAAAGTTTCCAGGTTTTGGGACCCATCGCAGACGGGTAAGCGAACGGCAACAACAGCCTGGAGGCTCTATGGCAGACTTTGCGCAAACTTGTCAAACGAACCTCTGGACTGTCCCCATCTAAATTTCTGGATATTCCTGGGTTCTCGGCTCTTACTTACATGATGCTCTGAAGTAGCTCCGCTACGACCAGACTGATCTGTTAACCCGCGCGCCTAGGTTTCCTGCGCCCTGAGCCGTAACTCCGAGTGACTGAACCTAGCCCTTAAGCTCCTACATCCTGGACCCAGAAGCCCTATCATAAATCTCACCTACCCAAAATCCGAAATCAAGCTCACAATCCGAGATTCCAGAAGCCCCAAAAACCTCTGAAGCCCTCCCGTGGCGCTGGAAAGACTGCCAGGGAGCCGCCAATAGGCGCTAAGAATCGCGCCTGCAGGAGGGTTTGAGGGTTCAGGGCTGTAGGATCTTAATTAATGAATTAATTGATTAGTTAATTATAATTAATTAATTAATTGTATATATGTACGTATATATATATATATATATGTCTATATTTATATAGTTCTGGGCGAGGCTTTAGGGTTCTAGGGTTTACGGGGTTTAGGGTGGGTGCAGGGTTTATAGGATTTAGGGTTGTAGGGTTTATGGGGTTTGAGGTTCTAAGTTTAGGGTGAGCACTATAAGATTTAGAATTCAAGGCTTTGGGCTTTTAGGGGGAAGGGCTTAGGGGTATTGGCAGTTCGCTGGATCGAAGTCCCGTCTGGGCCCCTTTGTAGAAGAATGGTGTGTGCTCGTTATTCCGGGAATAAAGACCCGACCGCTATGTTTGGTAGAGCTCGCCACATGAAAATCCATGCTAACGAGGCAAAGATCAAATCTGACCATCACTCATCATCTGTCCCTATATAACTATATATATCTCCATATATATATATATAGAGAGAGAGAGAGAGAGAGAGAGAGAGAGAGCCACCTCGACGGATCAGCCCCCCCCTTCCCTCGCAAGTTGTGTGCAGGCAAGTGCGGAATCTGCGCGACAAGGTCGCATTTGCGCTTGGGCTTGGGCCTTGGGCCCACGGCGCCATCTCAAGAATGCCAACAGACACTTGAATGGGCCGCTTGGAGTTCCCCAGAGGGATGGGTGATACATGGTCAAGACCATCTATTCCCCTAACCCAAACCCGAACCACCCAAACACAGGGAGGGCAGGGCTTTGGGGCTTGGCAGGCAGGTCAGAACCCGGCTGCAGCTTGTAACCGGAAGATCCTCATACAATGAATTCAAGTCAGGGTTTCCGGTTATTCCCCTAACCGCTTTCACGCATGCACGAACCCTCTTCAAGAGCGCCGCATCTTGAGGATCAGACGGGAAAAATATGGGCACGTACGAGTTGGGACGTGTTCCTCAATGGATGCTTTGAAGGCATCATGGTATGCTCTCCTTGCTCCGGGGAATGGGTGGCAAGAGCAACGCCATCACTGCGATACCTAGGCAAACTACGGTGTTCCATAGAGATTTTTCCATAGAGCATCCCCCGCTGTGTGATCAAAGTGAACTTGTAAAGCGGGTTTAGGACGCGTGTGCTATCTGTACATAAAAACAGAACTTAACATAACATAACGCGGTATAACATAGAACAACATTAACATATTACCGTACACATTACATTATAGGACATAGCACTATGTTAAAACTGCACTGTACTATATCATAATATAGCACATTACACTACATCATAGAGCATGCAAAGTACACATAGTACACACTCTCTCTTCTTCAACAACCGGGCCCCAAAAAGTTCAAACTTTTTAAGATAGAGCTAATATATAGAGCCAAAAAGTTTAAAGTTCCCCCGTTCACTATCTAAGCATTCTTAAGATAATATAGCATACGTACCTAAGACATACATACATACATACATACATACAAACAGACACACATACATACATTTATACATCTATCTGTCTTTCTTGTCTCTCTGCATTTCTCTGTAGACGGATCGATTGGTTGCTTGGCTGATAGGCAGGTATATAGGCGGATGGGCATCAAGCGCGACCATCTAAATAATCTCAACCGTAGACCGCAACAACATACTACAACCCTTTTTTTTTGCATCCAGGCCTCTTGAAGTACATACAACAACCCTAAACCTCAAAACCCCGAAGGAGCCTGTAAGCCCGATAGAACCCTATAATACCTAACCTAGGACCAGGACTCAAACAAGGATTTGCCTCAACCCCAGAAGCCCTTTACACCGCTAAATACATACATACACATAGATATGTGCGTATTATGTATATATATATATATATATATATACACATACACATAATTACACAGATAGGTATGGGTATAGATACACCATTTGGGAATTTAGGGTCTAGGCAGCTTAAACCAGAACACTTCATCGTCCGCAAACACACGGCCCCGGCCGACGAAGCGCTGCTTGTCGCAGGGGCGTCCGTCCGCATGGTACTTCCTGACGTAGGGCTTTAGGGTTTAGGGGGTTTTGTTGGGTTCCTGTGGGTGTCCAAGTGGGCGGTTCTAGGGATTCGGCGCTCACACTCGGACGCTCCAGGCGATGCAGGTGTCTACAGGTCTGCAGGTGGTAGAGTGCGTGGACTTAGGGCTCCCTGACACTCTGGGCGAGGATCAGGGCGTTTAGGTGATAGCTTTACGGGGTTCTGAACATGCCTTATAGTCACATCGAGACCTTGATACAGTATCGTGATATCATGTTGGGATGCGGCTTTGCTGCACACGTCGCGACCGCTTACGAAACCCGAGCAGAAACCAAAGCATAAGACTGCCCTTGCAAGTTCCTATCGGAAGCTTAGTCGTAGTACCAAGAGCAGTCTCGACACAATTCTGATGTCAGTACCACATAAACTGCAACATACGGCTCATGGAGTTTAGTGCTGTCCGGCATGAAGAACAAGAAGTGCTTTAGGGCTTGCTGGTGTTTAGAGTTTGCTGCCAGCTGTGTTAGGAGTTTCGTCTAAGACTGCTTCGTCCTGAACAGAAGCTATGCGAGGGGCTGAGGGTTTCGGCGTCAGGGTGTGTTGATGAAGACCAAGACTCGTGCAGCAGTGGAAGGAGCCGCGCAAAATGTCCCATGCATATTCAGCCGCACCTGAGTGACACAGCAGATGTGGATCAAGCCAGGCTTTGCATCGGTACTTTGTGCTGCCACTAATTGCACAGGTTCTTGTCACAACTGCTGAACTCTTGAACTTTACTATATTCGTTTCAAAAGATGTAGCAGCAAGACACGACCAACACACCACGCCTTTTTTTGCATCCAGGCCTCTTGAAGTCTTGCCGGGGCACGGCGAATGCTGTAACACTCGTGGCTACACACTACGCTAAACCCTGAAACCCTAAACAGTGACCTAAAGATGTCGAATGAAAAGCGGAGCCTAGGTCGCAAAGCGAAGGCTGTCGTCGGGATGTCGGGGCTGCGGGTTTAGACGGCATAGGGTTTAGGGTTTTGGTTTAGGGTTTAGGGTTTAGGGTTAAACCCAAGCGGCCCCTCTTCAAACAGGCCGCATTTGTAGTGGGCAGGTTAGACAGTTCCATCTTGTTCGATATGGGTCTGTCCAAGTGGCTGTGCTGAACCTTACACCCTCAAACCTTGTGGGTCTTGCGTTTTGAGCTCAGGCCCTAACGACCCTAAACCCCAAACACAAAACCCAAACCCCTGAACCCTACACCCTCATATCCAAAACCCTAAGCACAAGTCCTAAAGGGTCTTGACATCAGGTTCGAGATGGATGAAGGCGACTGTGACCCTTTCATGTTATGGTGCGCAAAGCAAAACATTATAACATGCTTGTGTTGTACGTTGCTAGATTATGCTATTTTTCTGGTATACATATATAAATACAACTACATTTTCCCACTCTGCTCTAGTGGTATACAACACATCGTGTGTTGAATCCGAGGCACTTCGGTCGATGCGCTCCTTTTTGAGGACGCCCGTCGCGGTGTACCTGAACACCTGCAAGCCAAAGGAAATCAACACAACCACACATGCTGCAAAGCTGTGTTGTGTAGTAGCCGTCTACATCACCAGTCATCATGGTCATCATCCTTATTTATTGTTAGTTTTACATCGTCATCATCATCACCATTTCCCAACCTCATGTGCAGGATTCAAGATACCAATGTTTGACCCCGCGATGGCCAAACTAAGCGGCCACAGTACAGGCTTGCGTGAAGAGTTCGAAGTTCGCCGAGAAGCTGCACAGATCGAAGAGAACGCAGAAATATGGATGCCTCCCTGACTAGGGTTTGAGCGTACAGTATGGCATCATCATGTAAGATACAGGGGCCTTAGTAATTAGAATAGGCTTATGGGGCCCAGGTATAATAAGAAACACCCCAAAATAGCATAGGTAATTATTCAGGCCCCTATAGTACCATATCGGGTTTAGGGTCGGGGGACATAGTAAGTAGGTAGTAAGTAGACTCGTAGACTTATAAGTACCCTAAAAGGGGCCCTAATTGCGGTTATGGTACTTATAAGTCCCTAAAATAACCAGTCCCCCGACCCTCCAAGTAGAGCGTTGGGCGGCACACCAGGAAAAAGCTCATGAACACCAACCCACCGATGATCACGGTTGGAAATGAATGTGCAGCGGCCTAGCTACAGGAAACTGCAGCCTGGCATCCACTCAACATCGAAAGTTAGGGGAACCTTCCTTAATCTGGTGTTCTTACCATAGGGATCCTATTATTTAGGGTACTATAGTAGGGTCCCCTATTGGCTCGCCGCACAGGAAAGACTGAGACCCAGCGCACATTCTCCAAACCGCCCGGCCTAAAGATAACTGAACTGCATCAGCAGCCTGAGGCAAGAGAAATCCGTGCGGACCCCTGAAGCCTAAACCCTAAATATTAATCCCGAACCCTAAATCCTTGAACCCCAAACCCCGAACCCTCAAATCCTGAAGACCCCAAGTCCTCAAGCAGGGGCCTGGGCACCCGACTGCCCCCCAACCCACGAAGATTCACAAAGCGTAAGCCCGTCTTAGGTTCTGGTTTAGGTGTTTTGTGAAACACAATAAAACACAGTACTGTGTGAATGTTATAAGACACTACGATTCCAGTCTTCGGGTATGGTTACATGGGTTCGGGGTATGGGGTTATAGGGTTTTAGGATAGGTATGTTAGGGCCCATACTCCCCCCCCGAGTCACCAAGCAAGCCTTCGTGTCCTCACCCTCCAAGCACTGGCAAGTCACGAAGCACAGTCCTCAAATCCCAGGCTGCTCCCCAAATCCCGCGAAAATGTGTGGAGGCCACAGAATACAGGGGCCTCAATTAGAATAGGGTTTTGGGGTATATGATACTATAGTTATATTAAGGACCCCCCCTCAAAAAAAACAGTCCTGGTAATTGTTCAGGCCCTATATCATGCTAAGGCTAACACCATGTCCATTCTCCGACGGCCAAGCGAACCCTCATAATTCCTATGGTGCAACAACCCTCCGGCGCTTCTGGGCAACTTCTGCCTACAAGACCACGTGAAGTCGACCCCGAACCTACCTCCAAGTGACTCTAAAGTCGTTTAGGGTCCTTGGGGTTTGTGATTTGCGGTTTAGGGTCCTATGACACTATGAAACAACCAACATTTACCTGGCCATGCAGGACGGGTAGAGGCCCGTGGGCCCTAAACCCTTGAAAATCAGGAGGGCGTGCCTACACACGCAAGTCATCTGAGTCTAATCGATTCGAAAAGCCTGAATAGGATGTTGGGCGCCAGAAAAATGGAACATCATGATCCCCTTGGCCTGATGGAGAGGATATGGAATCCCAGCACTTATTAATCATCCTACATCCATGTTCCAAATTTCTGGGGTCAATATATACTAAAACCGTCATAGGGACGATAAAGGGGTACTCGTGTCCGACCCCCAAGCTCCCTCAGGGAACGAAAATATGTAACTCTACAATGCAGCCCAAAGCAGCTCGAAACCCTTTCATTCTCAAGAAAAACAGAACCCCTAAACCCAAACCCCTCAAAACGCCTAAACCGCAATCGCTTAAGCCCCCCAAATTTGGCCCAAAGACAATTCGGGTAGTCGGGTTTCTATAATAAGGAAGCCCGAAAATGAAAGGGCAACGTGGTATTACTGGGGACCTGAGACCCTAAACCCCTCAAAACCCCAAAACCCTAAGCACCTGAACAGAATTCGTCCAAAACAATATAAGCCCTAAACCCTTTTGCACAGACTTGTATATGCCCGCCCTAAACACTAAACTCTAAAAAGTCCAAACCTTTAAAGGATCCCCCGCAACTTTGCCCGAGGAGCTCTCTAAGAGGCTCCAGGAAGCGAAGGAACTGGAGAAGCCGTGCTGCTCGGCACCTGGAAAACCTGAGGGTTAAGGAAGGTATTTTAGGGCTTAAACTCTCGCAACTCGGGCAAGCCAGACGAGGTTTTTAGGGTTTAGGGTTTATAGGGTTGAGGGCTACCAATCTACCACGGAGGGTTAAGGAAGGCTTTTAGGGTTTAGGTTGAGGTAGAGGGCTAGAACAGAGCGTTAAAGAAGGCTTTCAGCATTTAGGGTTGGGGGTTAAAGAAGGCTTGTAGTGTTTAGGGTTGAGGGCTACTACGGAGGGTGGAAGAAGGCTCTTACGGTTTAGGGCCGTTTAGGCTTGCGGGTTTAGTGTTACAGTGCGTTTAGTTTGGGTTTAGGATTGAGCGGCGCAAAGGGTGTCGAAGCATGTTCTAGTGAGGCTTTAGGGTGAGGGGGTCATAGAGTTCCGTTGGATATGATAGGATTTTAGGTTGGCTGAGTGTCAAAGGTTGTGCGGATTGGGGTTAGTTCGATCAGGGTTAGAAGGTATATATGGTCTGTGGCTACTAAACCCCTCCACACTTTCATTACTCTAAACCGTAGTGCCGCAAGCCCCAGGGCCGAAAAAACTCACGAAAGTTTGGGGCTAAAGGGTTTAAGACGGCTCATGATTTGGAACTGAAGTAGGGGTGGATTGCAGCTGATGCATCCATGGGTGCAGGAATCGTAGGGCTAAACCCTAAAACTCTTACCTAGGCCCCCCAACTACCCACTACTAAGAATCATAAGGGCTCGATTAAAGGGCCACTGGGCGGGTCCTTATATACAACTCAAAATCCGTTTTTTGCGGCTGGGGCTTTAGCTTGGTGTTCAGGATGGAGACGGCTGTCCCGGCTCACTCTCGGATTTAAGGGGCTTAGAGGTTCAGGTTCAGGGTATTCGGGCTTATGGCTTAGAGTTTAGAAGGAGTTCCGGATTTTGCTTGGGGATGTTGGCCTATGCTGTTGCATTGTGGGTGTTGCTCCATCTGGTGGCAGTGGTTGCGGCTGCTCTTGTCTCCGGTACACTTCTATTGCTGGTAGTGTGCTACGTGCTCGTGGCCTCGACCCTCTGCTGGGTGACATTCGCACTTCGCGTGTAACTGAGTTTTTGCAATACTACTGGAATCCCTATGGCGATGATTGTGGTGCTTACCCGTGTGGTCTTTCTTTCTTCCTGGATGGCTATGATTCTGATGGTGATCGTAATGATGAGGAGCATTGCGGTTTAGTTGATCATATACATGACAAGCAGCACCTTGGCACAGCACCTCAAACGGACGACGGTAGACTATGCTGAGGGAGTATATGGGGTTTCTGGCTTATCGGGCTCAGGGCTTTATTGTTGATGGGGATAAAAGTTTAGGGTTTAGGGTTTAGGGCTTAGAGCGGCAAACTACCAGGCGTCCTTGCAAGCAAGCCTGCAGCAAAGGGTTTAGGGTTTACACAAAAGGCTTGCCTGCCACCTGGCTGTGTAGCTATTCCTTTTACCGAAACACTCATTCCTTCGTATTTTTCGCCCAGACTCTGACCTCTGAACCGGAAGCCCTGAGACCTAAAAGCAGACTTCGCCCAGCCTTTGCGTGACTCGACCACTAACATAGCCCTGAAGCAAGAGCAGTAGCCTCAGGCGGATGGAAGGGCAGCAAGGTGCAATCCTAGGGGCCTAAGAATTCGAGAGGTTTAGAATCTGAGTCTGCTCAGAAATTGAGTGGGCATTTGAGACAAAGGGCCCTCCCCCGTCTTCCGGATTCCTGCAAACCTACTTATGTCCAGTAGGGGAAACTGAAGGTTAACCTTTGGGATTATATTGGGATTGCAGTATCCAAACGAGGTTACCCATTCTTCTACAAGTACTATTAAGTGAAATACCTGGTCCTTGATAGCATGTACAAACAAACACACTTCGGGGTCTGGATGACCGTTTCGGACCAACATTTTTGGATTTGGGAGTTTGCGGGCCTTAGTACACGTATGCACCCCAATTTAGAAACGCAGGGTTGGAGAACTAGTATGAAGAGAAACAACATGGGAGGGTTTTATGTTGCAGCAAGAGGCCCACCAATCCGAAAGACTGAAAGACCCAGAAGGATCTGGAAACTCAACCGCTTTGACTTGTCGCTTGAATTGGTGGTGCGGTAATGTTGGAATGATCCCCGAAACTATTACCTTAACCCTGAAGAACCTCCCTTTTTAGGGTTCCCTATTATGATTTCCTTATAGAAGTCCTTAAAAAGGTAGGTTCTTCAGGGTTAAGGTAAGGATTAGGACTTCATGGATACAGGGCCTGAGGTTGACCACAGGACTGGAGGCCAGGCGTTGTCGTGCACAATGTGGGAGTTAGGATTAGGGGGCCCCTTGGGGATTTTGACCCTCTCAATAAGGCCCCTTTTAAGAGAGCCAGAAGTAGGGTTCAGAAGGGGCACCCTTTACGGGGGCTCCCTAATAATACTACCTACAGTGCTTACATTCAAAACATCCTGTGTGTTTCGGTTATGATTTGTCTCCTGCTCGTGCATCTGAGGTCCCTGGCCATGAAACGCCATGAAGACAAATTTGTAGTTATCTGAAAAAGCGTTGTCCGAGCGCATTGAGCCCTCGAGCCACAAAAACCCCCGACACCCTCAAATGTTAAGAACAACTTCCGTGACATAGAGGGTTACGAGGCCGACATTTACACGACTTAGCAAGGATGCTTGGAATCCCCTCTTCGAACCCCCCCCCCTCTTCGGGCCTCTGGGCTCTGTGTGATTGTCCGAAACCCCAACCCCAAAGCCGTAAGTCCTAAACAAACCTGACAATCGCTAAGAAGCCTAACCCCTGAACCCCCAGCTATAAAACAAAAACAAAACAACACAAAAACACCAACAACTGGCCGAAGAAGAAGAACCCCCAGCAATAAGAGCTGAAACACCCACGATGGAGTTGATCGCGCACTGGTGTTGGATGCTGTTCTGCCTCCGAGGGGTCACATTGGGAGCACAGAAGTTCGGATCCGAGTGCTCCTGCAAGAGTCCCTTTAAAGGGATCTATAGGGATTCTATACGGGTATAGGGTTTAGGGCCTACTTGGAGGTTCATGGGTAATTATGAGTGGGGTTAAAAGTAGGGTAATTACAGTTATAACCCATACCAACGGGCTTATACCCCCACTTACAATTGCCCATGAACCTCCAAGTAGGGTGCAAGGATCTTGGGTTCAGGGTTTAGAGTTGAAGAGTTTAGGATTGAGCTTAGCAAACTCAGGGTTTGCGGTTTAGGTTTTACGCTCTCACAACTCGGACATGCCAAGGTTTTAAGATGTTTTAGGGGTTTATAGGGCTTAGTAAGCTTAGGGTGAGGATGCAGGCCGCAAGGGCCGAGGAATCTTGACACGTCCCGACTCCCCGACGTTTAGAATCTGGAGCTCCGCGTCTTTGGTTTTTGACGTTCCGGGTGTGGCAAGTCTGGGGTTCAGAGTTCTGTGTCCATGAATCTGCAGAGGGTGGCTTAACGTGGTGACATGTCTCGAACCCCTCTCGCCCCCGAATGGTTTGTTCCAGGATGCTTCCCCGATGGATTGGAGATTAAGCCGTAGGAGATGTAGGGCATGAGCCTTTTCAACCGTGGAGCTTTGGCCCGCACACCCCATCAGCTCTCTGACCCTCCGCCCTCAAGGCCCTAAGGTCCTTCTCAACCCACAGAGGCCAGAAAACAGGACCTCCTTGATAGTCGATCACTTCCGATTTATCTTCGCGGCCACTCTGCAAAAAAATGGAGAACCCTGCGTCTAGCTGACGGTAATGCGTTACGGAGTTGGCCAAATCTTCTGGACTTCATGAAGCTGTGCCAAGGTGTCTACAGATTTGCAGGTCTTACACCGTTTGACAATGGATGATGAGGGTCTTGCAGGATACCAATAATAATGCAGACCTTTGCCGATGCTGACCACTATGACAGCAGTCGTAGTATGTTGGCTGCCTCTGAAGCTCAAACCATACCCTCAACCACCCAACTGCAGGCCAGGACTGCAGGCGAATGGTGGGGAAGGGTATGGCACATGGTATGGCTTTTCTTGCCAAGGTGCTGCGGCATGCAGCTGTACTCTGACCACACCCACTTGAATTTCAGACCTCGCTTGCTGAGGTGTGATGGGATGACCGCGGAAGCATGTGGGTGGCTCTCAAAATTATGGTCCCGCTTTGGGTACCCTAAATATTAGGTGCCGTACTATAAAAGGGATCCAAGAAAGGGACCCTAATTTTCACAACCACCCGCGTGGAAAGAGGCGCCCCCAACCGAACGGGAAACTGCCGAGCCTGCTCTGAAGAACTCGAGATACGTGCGCTTTATGTGGGTGGTTGTCAAAGTTAGGGTCCCTTTTTGGGTCCTTAATTATACTGTCGGCATCTAATATTTAAGGTACCCAAAAACAGGGCCATAATTTTGACAACTACCCATGTAGTTGCGGATAGATGGGCTGGGTGGTTGGAGCGTTATGTAGGCAAACGCGAGCCTTAGTCTAGCGTAGTAGTAGATGTTGTTGTAGCAGCAGCAGCAGCAGCAGGAATAGTAGTAGAAGTACTAGTAGTAGAGGAAGTAGTAGTAGTAGTAGTAGTAGTAGTAGTAGTAGTAGTAGTAGTAGTAGTAGTAGTAGTAGTAGTAGTAGTAGTAGTAGTAGTAGTAGCAGGTGTTAGTAGTCGTAATAGTGGTAGTGGTAGTAGTAGTAGTAGTAGTAGTAGTAGTAGTAGTAGTAGTAGTAGTAGTAGTAGTCGTAATGGCCGCAGTAATCGTAGTAGTAGTAGTAGTAGTCGTAGTAGTCGTAATGGCCGTAGTAATCGTAGTAGTAGTAGTAGTAGCAGCAATTAGTAGTTAGTAGTTATGACTGTTATTATTTGTAGGAGTATAGTAGCAACACCGCGACGACTACTGCTAATTAATACTGCTACAGCTACTGCTACTGCGGCTACTGATACAGCTACGTACTGCTACTGCAACTTCTTTATACTGGTACTGCTTCTTGCTGTACAAAGCAGAAGTATGTTGTTGATACTTCCGGTCATGTTCTCCACAATTTGAGCAAGCGGCCATACCTCTGCAAGCCTCTGATGCTAGTCACCATCGCCTCCGGAACAGTGCACTGCAGTGATGCAGCGACCCAAAGTCCAAAAGCTGTGCTGAACTGTGTCTGCATAGTTTCTACGGCAGGAGTTCCATGTCCGGACAAAGCCCTTGACCCCTCTATGGTATCAACGTTTAGTTTAAGCCCTACACACTAATACCACACATGCAGAACACTAACACTCCCCACCAGAAACCTTGCAATGAAGATGGACGGATCTTGTCTAGACAACCAAAGCCTCTTGGGCTGTCCGCTTAGGTTTGCTTGGGTTCAGGCTTTGGGTTGGTATATACATGTTAAAGTATTGAGGGTTTACGGCTACACGGCTTTCAACTTGTAGGCAAAAGGGCTCGAGGGTTGTGGGGTTCAGGCCTGTGACGTATGGGGAAAAATGGTGGCCTTTGGGGAGGTCTACTACTTTGGAACCCCAGGCCCGAGGAGAAGGATCTCAAGCCCGCAATAGCCTCACGCGCCCTGGACGATTGAATCATAACTCTAAACCCCCTAAACCCTAGACCATCCGAAACCCTAAAACCGAACCATAGCGATTCATATGCGCATAATCTGAAGACTATCCAAGACTTGGGTTAAGCACCTGCGTGGGGGTAATGAATTAAACTTGGGCTCATGGTGGCGTATGGTATGTTCTGGGTTAACAATACTTGGAGGTTCATGCATAGTTATAAGTGGGTCTATAAGTCCCCAAATATGGGCCGTAAGTACAGTTATCCTACTTATAACCCTACTTGTAACTGCCCATCAGGGCTTCCATTCGGATTACAATAAGGACATTCCTTCTTAGAACAGGGTTTGGGGGCCCATTATGCTATAGTTATAATCAGGAACCACCAAAACAGCAAAGGTAATTATGAAGGTTCCTACATTAGACGGGGGTTTAGGCCTCAAGCTGCAACACATCAGTGCGGCTCTCTCTGCAGGTCTACCCAAAACTCTTCTACACCCCGAACGAAGCCCCCGAGCTCTTTAGGTCCTAAGCCCAAAACCTGTGTTTTGATGGTTAATGGTTTTAGAGTTTCGGGTTCAGGCAGAGTTTAGCCCCAGCTAGGGGTATTTGGGGTTGATTGAGGGCTTAAGGTGTTAAGGGTTTTTCGTATGGGGCGTTTTGGGCTTCTGGGAATAAATGACGGGTACTAAGTGGGACCTGCTCCATTCCATGTTTACTCGTCCTTGAAATAGGAAGGCCAGCTACCACTTTAAACTGCGCCATAAACACTGGAACTACGACCCAACCCCCAAACATTCAAGTCCTGAAGCCCTACATCCGAAACCCTACTTGGAGGTTCATGGGCAATTAGTTATAGGTGGGGTTATAAGTAGGGTAACTAGAATTATCATCACCCCACTTAAAACTACCCATGAACCTCCAAGTATACCCTAAACCCTATACCCTTATAGAGTCCCTCTAGATCCCTTGAGAGGGACCCCCTTAAAGGAGCACTTATAACTACCCATGAACACTAGAAGTTCGAAAGCCGGAAACTTCTGGGCGCTCAGGCCTTCGACGGTATCAAAGGCTCTGAGGATCAGCCGAATCTTTCGCGCCCTAAACCTTACACCCAACCCTTTAATAAGAGTATAGATTTAGGGACTTTAGGGTTTAGGGTTTAGGCTAGGGTTTAAGGCCACTCTCCCGGAACACCCTTTCTTTCATCCTTGTTCGTCATCCTTTTTTCTGCGGAAGCTGTGCCTTGTAGATGTCAGCGTCCTCATGGAAGCCGTCGGTATGTCGATCTGTGCCATCATAGCTTACGAGCAAGATGCCTGGCTTCGGTGGCTGTGCGGCCCAAACTATGGCTGTAGAGCAGGATGGTCCAGGAGTGCCAGACCCTGGGGTGTATAATATAGGGGCCTTTGTAATTAGAACAGGTTCTTGGTGCCCATTTTACTTGAGTTATGATAAGCAACTTTAAGCAACCTCCAAAATATTATGGTGCGTAATTATTAAGGCCACTAGTAAACCTAAACCAAACCTAAACCACGAGGGCAGCTTGAGAGCTAAACTCCCATTTTGCGGGTCGATCCTTGTGTTAGGGATTTTAGTACTGAAGGCCCCATGTCTTGACCCTAAGCCCTAAACTGTCATGACCATTGAAATCGCTGTGATGTGGGTGCTTCCGAATTCCTGGGGGGCCCTTTCCGGGCTCCCAGAAACAAGGATCCTACTGTCCAGGCTTTCTGTTCTGATGGCTCCTCGTTTGCTGCAACCCTGCGATGAGGCGAGGCCAGTTTTGTCGACAAGCACTCCAAGTTATATAAACCCTGAACTCAAGCCGTTTGGAACGAGGTCTCACTGAAGTGCCTCCCGACGACACAGAATCTATAAACAACCAAACCTGAACCTTAAAACCCCGAATGGAATACCATACGCCAGACCTTACCTTATAGTCCGAACTCCCATACCATCATTCCGAGCACGGACTGCAATGCACTAACTGGACTTTGAAACTGCAATGCACTAACTGGACTTTGAAGTAGCCAGGGAGAAAAAACTATAGACGTTTACTGCATAATGGTTCCTTTAAGGAACAGGTGCCCATAAAAAGTATTCAAGTATAGTACTCCAAACCCAGGCCAAGCCCTGAATTCCTTCAGCCAACTCCGACATCCGATAGCCTTTTTTGAGCAGAGACCCCAATACCCTAAAACCTATAGGCACCCACACACCAAGGAAATCAGCCAGCGGGAAGACAAAAACGGCTCAGGGGCTCAGGGGTTTAGGATCTTAAGGCTGTGTTTTCATGCTTGAAGGGCTCTTCAGGAGATTTTTGTCGGCGTTGAGGCTTCGAGGTCCTAAACCCTAAACCCTAGCTTCGAAAGCAGCCTGCGTCCTCGGTCCCCTGGGCATCCCAACAGTCATCCTGGGCGCTGATGATTTAGGGCTCGCGTGAAGCAATGAAGCTGAGGGTTTGGGGTTTTCCTGTGGATCCAAAAACCTACCGTTTTAGGGGTTAGACCCTATAATTCAAGGGTAATAACCTACTATTCTATAGGGTTTGGGGTCACAAGTTGGTCCGGGTCTACGAACTCCTTCACAGATTCGGGGAGGTTTATTGAAAGAGCTCATGTTGTCGGTCTCAAAAGAGCCGCACCAGACCACATCCCGAACCCAGCAGACAAGAAGCTACCAACATAGTCTCCGATGTAGTTCTTCTTTGGTTAACCAATCTTATGGCTAGAATTCCCCAGCAAACAGGAAGGCAACCAGAAAACAAACTTCGGTGGCGGCTACCCGAAAATCCGAACCCTAAAATCTGAAGGACTCCCCTGTTGGCAAAAATGGTCGTCTGGGACTCCATTCTGCTACTGTTCCAACATCTTACCTTCGGTTAGTAGGGAATGGAAGGGGCCTTATAAAGGGGTCTATAAGGGTTACTATAAGGGCTCTATAAAGGTACTATAATATAGGGGGCCTTAATAATCCTATAGCTTACCTTTGGTTAGTAGGGAATGGAAGAATGGTAGTACGAGTAGTTATAATAATTGTACCCCATTTCTCCATTCCCTACTAACCAAAGGTAAGACATCCCCCAGCTGAAGAAGCTCTTCGTGAGCAGGGACTGCAGTGCAGCGGATAACCCCCTAAACCCTTAAACCCTAAAACCCTAAACCCTAAACCCTAACCCCCTAAACCCCTAAACCAGTGCCCTGCTTGAAAGTTAGGTCCTTCATAGAACCGTGGAAAGACAGGACCACCATTCACATTGACACTCCGGTCATACAGGGGCCTTACCACTTCGAACAAGGGCTTGAAAAATCAAGGCCCCAAATAAACCCTAAACCCTAAATCCTTTTTTTGCATCCAGGCCTCTTGAAGTCTTACCGGGGAACGGCGAATGCCGTAGCACTCGTGGCTACACACTCACACTGACCACTTTAGCAATAGCACTATCAGAAAAGAGACTTAGTAACAGTATGACTTGATCATCGCGAAACAATGAATCATGCACAGTCTGAAAAGCCATCGCATGCGCATCTGCCATCATAGGAGACACACTCAGGGACAGAATCCAAGCACCATACTTGAACCCTAAATCCTGAACCCTAAAACACTAAACCATGTTTGCATCCTGCCTGCAAAAGCCTCAAAACCTAAACCCTAAAACTCTAACACTAAAGCCTCCGAAGGAGGAAACTGCGGGCAAAGCTCCAGCCAAATATGCTTGCCCAAATCGCGCAGCTGTTCATACGAAGGGTACTTCCCGCACCTGGTCTGTAGTAGTGGTGGTAGTAGTAGTAGTAGTAGTCGCAGCAGCAGTAGCAGTAGCAGTAGCAGTAGCAGTGGCAGTGGCAGTGGCAGTGGCAGTGGCAGTGGCAGTGGCAGTGGCAGTGGCAGTGGCAGTGGCAGTGGCAGTGGCAGTGGCAGTGGCAGCCAGCAGCAGCAGCAGCAGCAGGCAGCAGGAGCAGGAGCAGCAGGAGCAGGAGCAGGAGCAGGAGCAGGAGCAGAGCAGGAGCAGGAGCAGTAGGAGTAGTAGGAGTGTAGGAGTAGGAGTTAGTAAGTAGTAGTAGTAGTAGTAGTAGTAGTAGTAGTAGTAGTAGGAGTAGTAGTAGTAGTAGTAGCAGTAGTAGCAGTAGTAGTAGTAGTAGTAGGAGTAGGAGTAGGAGTAGGAGTAGGAGTAGGAGTAGGAGTAGGAGTAGGAGTAGGAGTAGGAGTAGGAGTAGGAGTAGGAGTAGGAGTAGTAGTAGTAGTAGTAGTAGTAGTAGTAGTAGTAGTAGTAGTAGTAGTAGTAGTAGTAGTAGTAGTAGTAGTAGTAGTAGTGGTAGTGGTAGTGGTAGTGGTAGTAGCAGTAGGAGTAGTAGTGGTAGTGGTAGTGGTAGTGGTAGTGGTAGTGGTAGTGGTAGTAGCCGTAGTAGTAGTAGTAGTAGTAGTAGTAGTAGTAGTAGTAGTAGTAGTAGTAGTAGTAGTAGTCTTAGTCTTAGTTTGTCAGGTGCAGGGTTGCGGTTTGGGGATTTTCTGGCTCCCGCATAGACGGTTTAAGGAGAGTCTGGACATCAGCTGCTTCGAAAGGGGTGAACAATTGGATCTAGTGCTTACAGTGGTGTGCCGGAAACCCTAAACCCTAAACCGTTGACAGATGGAACTCGAGGTGAAATCTGCTTCGCATGCTTCATGGCACGATGATGTCATGCACTCCTCTACCCCTCGGATTGCAGTGCAGGGCTGATATAATGTAGGCGCCTTAATAATTAGAATAGGCTTTTGGAATTCCAAACCCTATTCTAATTATAAAGGCCCCTACAGTAGGACCTTTGAAACCTTGGATTTTGTACAAGCCAGAGGCTGAAGAGCAATTCGGCAGGCCGTGGGATTTATGGGATTCAATCTTGCGATGTGCTCTTGTCAGATTCAGGGTGTATGGTAGCCCTAAATCCCCAACCCTTTTTCCCTCAGCCCCCCCCCCCCCCCCGAACAATCACATGCAGTGGAGTCTCTCCAAGAAGTCCTCGACGGACACCAGACACAAGGGAAACTGGAATTTCTCGAGAACTTCCTGAGAATTGTGAAGCTGCATGCGCCGCTTTTGTGCTGGGACTCCATAGCAGCCCTAAACCCTAAACGCTTGTTTTGGTACTGGACTGAAGTATACCCCAAATCCCAAACTCTCTCTCGCTCTCTCTCCCAGGCACTGGATGCATCAAGCCTGATGGAACGGCTGCACTTGCGGCCCAACCCTACACCCTTCAACCTGAACTCTAAACCCTAAGAAACCCTTTTCGAACGATACCTATAGACTTTACTGGCCAACTCGGTGTCTTCGGGCTGCGCAGCCCTACCATGACAAGACAGGCTTCGACTTTGCTGGCACGCTACTAGAGGGGCCTTAATTATTGCAGGGACGCCCAGACACTAAGCCGTACTGTTGATGATATAAATCCTGCATGACCTTAAGGACCCTAAACTATGGGAATTATGACATATTCCTTATTATGGGTAATGCAGGATTTGTATCATCAACCGTAGGAATGAAAAATCAGGGGGTCACAGTCCTGTCTTCGCAGCATTTGCCCGGGATTGACATGTAGCTCAGTGCTACTGACTAGGCATCTTCGAGATCATGGTCCTAGTTGCTGAGTTCATAAGCCTCCAAAAGTGTACACTTTCAGTAGTTCATAGTGGGTAATCTTACACCAAAAAGCGTGAAGTGTATCCACTCAGCTACTACGTGCTTTCTCAAAAGGCGCATCCCACGTTTCCACGAGTCGAACACCATATGGCCAAGCACACAACTGCGCATCTTCCGAGTGCTCATTCTGTAATACACCTGGCAACACCTCCACCGTAGCAGTTGCTGCGACCAGGCCCAAATTTCCGAAACTCGGTATGACAGTCTTCCTGTTCGTACACAAGCCCAAGTTTGCCTTCAGAGAGGCTCTGACGCAGAAACCTACTGCGGCGGCCGAGCCACGATTGATGCAGACACTGCCTTGGAGAGAACGTCGCTCCGGTATCGCTGAAGCTTCAACTTGTCCAGGGTCCGCCGCCGCAAGCTGGCGATGACCTGAAAAGTCGACGGACGGTTTGGGGCTTAGGGTCTTGAGGTTGCTTCTGTTTTTGATTCCAGCTTGGGGCCTAAAAGGCCCACAGCCTAAAGCCGAAACCCTGTAGGGTTTGTAGTGCATGGCAAAAGCCCTCCATCGAGTCGGGAGACTGACCCCAAAGACTCCCAAATCCCTAAATGAAGGAATATCTAGGGTCCCTTTGAGGGATCTATAAGGAATCTATAGGGTTGAGGGCTTAGGGGGACTCCAAAATCCCTTAATTAAGGAATATACCTTAAATCGTAGAAGGGATCCTACTATAATTTAAGGATTCCTTAATTTTGAAGGGGTATTGTGGAGTCTCTGGGTCTGATCCAGGGCCTCTCCGAGCCACTGCACCCCACTGACGAGTACGAGTGACTTTACGAGTGGCCAAAAGTTAACAGACAACATATCCAAAGCCCTTTGAAGTAAATCATTACCAATATTGGTCTAGGGTTCCTTACTAAGATTATAGCATAACATACCCCAAAACCCTATTCTAAGTATTACAACATTTTCTCTTCTGGACCTTCACACTTTACACGTGCATCATTGGGAAAGGAGAGAGACAGGTACGTGTTGGGGGTGGGGATACGCTCAAGCAAAGTAGCGGCCGGGTGATGATACTGCTCCTAGTAGCATGGAAACAAAACGGATGGCAACTAGTTGAAACCTGTATGCCCTCAAGCCTCTCGAACCACCGCCCCAGCTCTCCCGACTTCCAGTTTCCTATTGGCACGCCTCCGGTTATGGTCTTTCAGGGGATCCCCACTGCCATAACGGCGTCATTTAGTGTGCTTTACGATGTAATCTCATGTAGTGCAGCGAAACGACAAGTACAAGTATCGTGCCGCATGTATGCATGCATGAATGCAGCTCTGCACGTCTGCCTGTCTGTCTCTGCATCTATGTAAGGTCCCAACCCGAGCTCCGTCAAATCCAGGTTTCAGTGGTTGCCCTTATAGATGGCTACAATCCACAAGACCTTCCGTCCCAGTAGCGAAAATGCCCATACCGACGCTGAGAACCAGCGTCACCGGGAAGGCCACGAGGGTGTTAACCCACCAGCCATTGCGGTCCTACCGCAACTGACTCGTCCGATATGGGTAGTTCTCTAAATTAGGATCCCTGTTTAGATCCCCAAAATCGCACGGCACCCTCATTCAAAGCACCCTAAATTAGGCAACTACCCATATCAACCCTAAGCCCTGGTCCCGGAATACTATACTTAGGGGCTTCAATAGTTAGAATAGGCGTTTGGGGCCCACTTTACTATCATTATAATAAGGAGCCCCTGAAATAGTATAGGTAATGGCTCAGGCCCCTATATGACAGGGAATGGGCCGTTCGGTACATTTTCCGGCCAAACACTTCGGAGCAGTTCCTGACCTAAGCTGCTGCCCAATATTCCCACTCATACCAGACCCCGTTTTTAGGGTGCCTATAAGTTTTACGGTTAGGATCTGTTGTATCGAAAAGTAGATACCGTAAAGAAACGGTAGGGCATGAGCCTACCGGTAGCCTTGGCTGAGACAAAAGCCCGAACCATCGAATACGAGGCTGTAGTGTCACAGGGGAGATAGGGTTTAGGGTTTAGGGAAAGGACGCGTTGTACATGGATTTGTGGGCTCAAGGCTTAAGGCCGTACGGGCTTAGCCAGTCATTCCTGGAAGCCAAGTCAACACGAAACTGAACAAACCCGAAAACCCTACACTCGGCGTGCTCTAGTATAGTTTCATCACGCGCTGGTTACGCTCGTTTCGGTCTCAATTATTCAGTGAATGAAAATGGACCGAAAAACACAAAATGACTACCTTCAGGGCGTCCTGCCAGCCTGCGATGGGAGAAAGCTCGAAGAGCCATCTGAGCCCAATTTCTGGCACCTCGGAGTTTTGCTTCTAAGGCCGCCGGGTTTGGGAGTAAGTAAACCAGTGGCACTACAATTCCATCCCCACCTATCTGTATATGCATACAGACACACACACACACACACACATATATATATATATATACACACATGCCCGCATAATTAGAAACTGTAATTGGTCCTGTCTTTGTTTGAACATGAAGTTATGCAATACTAACATGTTGGTTGGAGCAAGCATAAAGTACTGGAACCAGCAGGAGCAACAGTTGTAGCAATGCCTAGCTTCTGCGCGCATACTTTGGTTTTCGCATCAAGCGATTGTGAAAGTCTCAGCCCGGATCAACCGGGATGCATCGCAGACACCGGCTTGTATTCTATTGGAAGTCGTAAAATTACAAAAGATACTTGGATCAAACTATGTACAAGGTAACTTGAACACTGAAACTGCAAGCCCAAAACCGTAAGGATCGTGAGATTCAGCCTTACACTACATACCCGCTCGTGTTTATGGTCAAGATCTGCTTGAAAGTTTCGAAATTGACTGTCGCTCTACTGTATCATGTGGTGCTTCGAGATTGGCGGTGGTTTTATCATCTGGTGCTAGCTTCTGGGCTCTGTGGTCGGATAAGCCGCTAAGCCCTGTCACCACAGTGTAGCTTCTTAGCTGCTGTTGCTTGAAGGTTATGAGTTGCAGTGCCATTATGGCATTGTGGGTAGTGATTGCTGATTCCCTTACCTTCACGTACTGCAGTCTGTAATGAAATATGACCGTGATGATGCAAACATTGCCAGCTCCCACGGTTCAACACGCCTGAAAAAGTGATGAAGGCTCCCTGAATGGAGGTACTGTAGGAACCCTGAGCCCTAATACCCAAAACCTTAAACCATCATCCGGAATTCGGATACTGGCGGAGCATTGGCTCCTGCAGGAGCTAAACCCTGCAAGCAGGAGCTAAACACATCTGGGGGTATTGTTATTCATCTTCTTATTGCTATTACTAATATGTATTCGTCTTATTATTTTTTATTCTTATTGTTTTCATGAGTTACGGTTATTGTTGTTGTTATTGTTAGGGGAAGAGACCCTCAAGAAGAAAAACTCAGAATGCCCTTCCCGAAGCGCGGACCCAGAGCAGCGGGCTCATTGCCGAGGTGCTTCTGCATCAACGCCCACTATATCAATGCTTTCGTGCGAAAGGTGAGGCATGTGCCTGGGTTGGTGGGGCCGTGACACCGGTAGCTCTAATTTTAGTGTTAGCCGCAGGAGTGACTGGGAATGAGACAAAGAGGATTTTCTTGAGTCGAATCGACTGTCCCGTAACGCCTGCGGCACTGCCAGCATACTCGTGTTTGCACATCGCCCAATCTCAAAGCCCCATCGTACCATATCACCGCTATGGAAGAAACTAACCTCGTGATGTCTCGATGTACTGGATGGTAAAATCTCCAACGAGGCTATGAGCTTCATTGTCACATGGGTTCTCTCAAAACAACACACATCTCCTACAGTACCTTCTGCGTTCTACTAATCTCAGTTCCTGTCTCCTGGCGTTCGAATACCGAGAAACGCAGCTGCCAAATGCCATTACTGTTTGTGCGTCTTCTTTCCAGCCACCAAGAAACACAGCAAGAGACTAGCAATATAGGGGCCTTGACAATAGGGTTTCGGTATACTAGACGGTCAACAGACTACAGGAACCGTAAGGAACAGCTTTTGGTAAATACGTAGCGTCCTAAAACACCCATTCCCATGCGTGCCTTGCATGCAACCAGGTCGCTCACTTTCGATGGTCCGAGATGGCTTGTCCATGTCAGTCCTTGCAAGGCTGCGAATGCTTGTTTGGATGTTCGTTGGTTAATTGGTTCAAATCAGTGTATATGTGTTGCTCCCGTGATCGATCAGAACCACAGGGTGTTCAATGTGAAGTGTAAAGCAAAGGGATCGGGCACCTCTTAGAGCGAGGCGGGAAGCTTCCGCCGGCCTCTGGCTGCCGCGCGGTGAACACATTCTCTCCACTGCCCAGTCGAACTTGATGAATCGCATAGAGTCGCCCTCCCTTCACCGCGCGGTGTGTATTCTGGAGCATTTTGGGTATAAATCGTGAAATCGTGCTCTGGCCACAGTCTCGTGCTTATTTGGCCTTCGAATCGCGTGAAGTCTCCAGCGTCGTAGCAAAGTCGCACTATGAGGCTCCAAGGGCCCTGATTATACCCTAAGCCTCCAGGAACCTTATTAATGGGTCCTTAAGGGGTCTAGGGCCCTGACTATAAGGTCACTGGAAGCATTGGGATAAGGGTTCGAAATCCGGTTTAGGCTTACGGGTTAACGGCTTCAATCTGTTAAAGGATTGGAAGTGAGGGTTAGCTGGGTTTCTTCAAATCCTACGGCAGTGACGCGAGCACGTCTAATAGGCTTCGCATAATATCCAGTCTTTGAGTGTCTTTTGTTTAATGGCTTGATTACATAACTGACAGTAGCTTGTTGAGGAACCTCCCAAAGAATCCGTCAAGTTTTATAAGCATGCCAGAAACTTATCGAATTGCAGGAAGACGGACCTGCTTGTTCGGGCTCCAGCATTTTAGGGGCAGAGTGGGAAGCGAGGTCCGAAGCCCAAAGCCCGAAACTGCTGCACAGCTACCTTCCAAGGATCAAACTCTTAGACTCTAGGTATCCCTGAGTCCTAGTTTCTTAAACCCGTGACTCCCAAGCAGTGTGCCAAGCCACACTCGCCAAGAGAAGTTTCTGAATCCTGCCTTAGTGCAGATAACTGCTGGGCGCGTGATGTGTACTTCGGATCTAGGGCTCAAGAAATCTGGGTTGGGGTATAGTTTCGGGGTTTGGGGGGAGGCAACAGGTGGAATAGGGGCCTTTAAAGGTGTCTTTCAGGGCTTAGTAGGGTTCTATATGGTATGGGGGGCCTTTAATACTTACCCTGCGGCTTCAATTTCGTTGCTTCCGTCGATTCTTGCTGTACCTCACAGACACGGCGACTCCTTTCTCATTGCTCTCATCTAGACTCTACTTGGAGGGTCGGGGGACTTAGTATCTGGTTATTTCAGGGACATGTAAGTGCCATAATCCCAATTAGGGTCCCTTTTAGGGTACTTATAAGTCTACCTACTACCTACTTGCTAAGTCCCTCGACCCTCCAAGTAGACCTTGTGGTTACCTAGCCCCCCTGCCCAGCTTGCAGACAGGTCGGTGCTCGAGTTCTGAAGCCTGGTAGCTCCTCCCTCAACTCTGAAAGGAGATCAGACTTGCTTAGTTAGGGTTAAAGGGAAGCGGGTCCAGAGGGTCAGAGAGTTAAGGATTTTGAAAGCTGTGGGGTCAACAGTCTTTCCGTTGCTTAGTAAAGCTTAAAGGTCGCACTGTCTGCCTGGAGTGCCTTTGGTTCAGCAGCACCGTGAAAACGGCTTTCACGTCCAATTTATTTGGACATTTTGAGGGCTTGTAGCTCCCTATATATGCCCCACCCTGCATGCGCAAGGCTTGGAAGGCGCAGGACGTGGAGTACAAACAGGGTTCGGTCCCTTGGCCTGGCAAACCATGACGGCTGACAAAATGTTGGACTCGAACTGGGAGGTGAGTGAAGGCTTGTGTCCACTGCACGGAGTGGCTGCAGCCGTCTCAAGATCGTAGGTGTCGGCAGCCGCTTGCCCTGTTCAATATCCTACCGTTTCCCTTGCGGGAAGACGAGCATGTCTTGTGCCATTCCGCCAAAATTAGGGAAATACATGGGGCGAGGATACTCTCTGATTCAGGGTTTAAGGTTTAGGGTTTACGGTTTGGGGTTTAGGGTTTAGGGTACTCTCTGATATAACAGTAAAGGATTATGCCAGCTGCTGGTCGTAGTGCTCGGCGGCGGGTCAATTTTCGACAGGGACGAGCAACACGTACGAGTGAAACTTGGATTGAGCGCATGAATGCTCCGGGTCCTTGTCTGGGAGTCCTCATCGTAAGAATCCGAGCATTCCGGGTCTAAATATTCGTCCAGTCGTTTCTGAAACTTCCGTATGCACTCCTTCCAAGTGCTGACCGGTCGCCGCGGCATACCCACCGCTGTACAGATCATGCAAGCGGTCCATGTCCACCGCGTCCTGCACTATGGTTGCGGTGCCATGCGGGCAAAGGATTCCGGTGAATTACTATACAGGTAGGTATGCAGGCACACATGTATGCAAGTACAAAGGGACAAGTTAGTAACTAGTACACCAGTATTTACACAATTGAGTTAGCAGACAGTTTCGCGTGGCTGCTTGCCCATCTGCGTGTCTGCTGTCTGTCCTGTCCTTTCCTTCCCGTACAGCCCCATCCCGTCCCGTAATTAATGTCCTGCCGTATGCATGTCTGCGTGTGCTTGTTTGGTTGGTTGTTTGCTTGTTTGTTCGAATTTCTGTTTGCTTGTCCGTACGTGGCTGTACATTTACACCTGTGTCTGTAAGTGGGTGGGGACATGCAGCTGTAAGTTCCCTGACGTGTGCAATTACCGCGTGTGTGTATGTATTCTAGCACACGCCTAGGCCTCCGCAGGTGCAGCTTTAGTGTGGCTCCGCACATTTCTGTTGCCGGCGACATGAAGACTCTGTAATGCACACTCTAAAGGAACACCAGTCTGCGTTACAGGACCCTGGTGGTCAGCAAACCGGAAATGTATATCTTACCCTTTATACTCAGAAGTTCATGGCGAAGGGCTCGATCTGCAAAGTTCAAAGGCGAACCCATGCAAAGCCCAAGATGTGGCCCCTGCCATCGTAACAGCTCAACCTGCTATTTAGATATGAACTACGATAGACGACTCAAAATATCAATCGCAGCAACGGATGTTGAGCTGGAGCCCCACTCTCTTTACGCAACCGCAGAGGGGGCAACCGAAGTCGTTGTTCCGAGCCAAGCCAGGTAAACTAAACAGATGCAACACAGTCAAGAACCGAGACACCCATGCCAGCCAAGCGCATAAAGCAGTTCCTCTTCGATGTTCACACCGCCAAGTAATTGCGCTTGCAGGTGCAACAGACGAAAAAGGTCTAGAAGTCTAGAACCTATGCTTCGAGCCTGGCGTTTCGAGCCACTCACTTTTTCGGGACATCGGACCCGGTCCTGGCATTTGCCCTTGACCCTATAAGCCCTAAACCTAAAATCCTGCATGTCTAAAGTCTCTAGAGCAGAAAGCTCCTCAAAATCTGCGAAGAGCATGGCGAAGCCCCAAAAATAGGCCAAACTGCCTGCATCTCTGCTCAAAGATACTCGGGTTGTCAGGTCGGGTGGTTCTTCCCTCCTACTTGGCAAGGACGAAGCCCGCATTGCAGGGTACTTGGTTGAACAGTAGATCGGCTTAGACATTGAAGCCAGGCTTTGGGGCTTTAACTTTAAGCCCTAAACCCTAAACCCTATACCCTAAACCCAATTTAGGCTTCGGTTCGCAGGATCCAACAGTTGGTAGCGTGAACGCTAGTACCAATCCACATATCTAACTGCCACTGTAACCGGAACAGCTTCCACGGTTTCCTACTTGTCGGGTATCACGGGGAACTAAAGGTTAACCTTTCCGGCTATATAGGAACTATACTACTACTAGGGTTTCGGGCTTTGGGTTCCATGACTATCAGTTCGGAGGGTGGCAGATCGGCTTCGACGGTAAGGGGGGGATGGACGTTGCTGCTCGCACTGCCTCGAAGGCTCATGTGCTGTAATTCCGAATCCTCAAAGAACGGCTGCATGTCTTTACTGTTCTTATGACAGACAAGCAAGGATGCCCGCCCAGCTCCGTGACGAAAGCATGATGCCGCTGGTCGTGGCTGCAGGCAATACATGGGCCATACAACTTGCTGAACAGTCTTCGATCCGCAAGGCCCCACTGTCGGAAGAAA